AGCAGTGACTCTGGTACGACACAAAGTAGCAGTGACTCTGGTACGACACAAAGTAGCAGTGACTCTGGTACGACACAAAGTAGCAGTAGCACTTCTACAACGACAACAAGCACCACTAGCAGTACTTCAGGCTCAACATCAAACAAAGACATAGTGGGTCCATATTTCCGATTTAATTTTCCTTGTTTGTATATGTTGGGTTGGCCACGAGGTCACGCTACACTTTGTTCAAGACTGAGCGCACATCAATTTTTTGCATGAAACAGTTAAGCAACAAGGTTATCACTAACGGAGTATGAGTGAGGTACCTTATCTTCAGGCAGCTTTTCAGCTATTTTCCCTTAGAATTTCATACGCTACGAAGAGAAGGGAACAGTCTCATTTCCGAGTCGGACTCAACAATCTTGATTTCTAAATGATTCTTTACTGCACTAATCACAGTAGTCGGAAGCTACTGATACCTGCAAGAAGCCGAGCAGTGCAGTATTCAATAACCAAAGTCTACAGTGCGTACCGAAAGTATGTGGACACCCTAAAATCGATTCTCAGGGGTCAGCTAAAGGTTTTCTGCCATGAAACCTTCACCATTCAACTCCTAGTGGTCGATAACCTACAATGACATTTTCGGCAAAAGATTTCGTTCTAACTTAGCGAACTATTTTTCATGGAAATTTTTTTCTTTGTATCAAAATTATGTGGACACCCTGAGGCAGATCAAGTTTCTGCATAATTTCCTAACCTATGTTTACTTCTTTCTTTCGTTACTTATTCTGGCATTATTCCTCTTCACAACAAGCATTTTTCTAAAGAGGACCAAGCACAGATGTGGGATCCTCATGCTTTGCTGAACCTTCCTATTGCGAAATAGCACGTCAACCAGTCATGCGTCCTCGTTGTTTGGAGAGAAATCCGAAATCCTGATGCTAAGCTCTCGACACTGATTGAGGGTCGTCTTCAATCGTTACTTGTTCAAAACAACATAAGAATAGCCTGTACTGTCTCAAAATTTCTTTGGTCTACCTGTACTGTCTCAAAATTTCTTTGGTCTGCTATCCGCGTTCGCGCTCAAATGACTTCCCTCTTATAAAAAAGACCACTCGGTGTTCCATCCAATCGAGTGAGCACACGACACGAGAGAAGATGAAGAAAGCTTCGTGTATGGATGCGCAGCACAGATTGGCAAGGTTGGAATTCCCGTTCAAAAATAAAATCACAACATGGGACGTTGAACCCGGACAGACAGCGCTTTTGTGAAAACTATAATAAGAATAAAAGACGCTCTGTGGAAAATTCCCCTTAGACAACCTCGACTGGTGAGAAAAAGCTTATCTTTGGCTATTTGGATCTCGTTGCTATTGGAGGGACCTTCGTCGTGATCCGCAGCTGTACTCAGTGAGACATTTTGGCTCATCAATTGTCTGGGGTGGTTTCAAAAGAAGCGGAAAATTGGAGATTGGCTTGCCAGCATGTCAGGTAGACAATTAGGATTATAATGAGGTGCTTGGATCCCGACTTATACCTTTTTCGAGAAGCCAGCGTCACAAAACACTTGTTTTGCAGCAAGCCCAAGGGGGTCCCCTACACGTATTCCATTTGGGAAGGAGGCAAACGCGAGGGTTTCGGGTGCTGGATTGGCTGGCGTATTCCTCAGACCACATCGTTATTGAAAACGTAGGGGATAGTGGTTCACTGCTTCTGCGCCATTAAAGAAAAAGTAGTACCCCAAGTGACCTAACAAGTTGCTGAAATTAGCTGCTTGGGAAGAGTTCGACGAAACAGGTATCGGGAGCCTGGTTCAGAACATGCCGAACAAAATGTTTGAACCTATCAGGATCTTCAGCAGTTTTGATTCTGAAGATGTTTCTGTTTTTCAAAAAGTCTCCACATGACCCAGGGGAAGCAGGGGAAAGTTTTTCCAATAATTAAAAAAAATTTGAAGCTGCATGTAAAACTGGTAAGAAATGAGAAAATCTGAGGTTTTCGTATCCGAAAAATCGAATGGTGCGATCTCATGGTGCAGAAATCAACAGTTCCTCAGAGAATTAAAATTTAGGGGTGTTTACATATTTTGGTACGCACCGTATAATAGTCTGAGATCTAATCCCTTCGCCTAGTGTAGGTACGCGATATCATGGATGAGTAGAATACTGAACATCCAGCATACTGAGCACTGTGAGCCCTTCCTAATAGGCCTGATTTTGTCCCCACTGAAAACGATTAAATTAAAATGTACGTAAAAATGCACACTACACACAATGACCCTACTCGTATACGAACATATCGGTCAGAGATCGCGCAAAGGCAATGAACGTGATGACTGAAGCAGCGTATTCTGTCTAAAGAACCTTCTGATTTCTGTGATTGATGGTCAACCGTGAAGAAGGGGTCCCAAACATATTTCCATCAACGAGTTCCGAGGGCGATACTGAAATCGTATCGCCATTCAGCTATCGTGACATCTGCCTCAGGGATCGGTAGGACGCTTTTCGTACAGCCTGCATTCCCAATGCACAATTTTGAACCCCACTTTTCACGGCAGATTGCTTTTTAGAACTTCCTCCTAGCTCTTATATCGAATCTCCTGTTTTTTTTTGACTGAGATCACCTGAAAGGTCATGCCTGCTGGGCTAACATTCCCTTAACTTTCATCGAGAAACGAAAGATTGAATCTCCTCATGCTGTGGTTATTCTATCCCACATTTACAACAGCCCGTTGTGGGCGCTCCCCGACATCGTTTTTTTATGGCTTTCCAAATCAGCACCTTAATTTCAATGATTTCGTTGCTGGCAATGGGAATATTACTCTCTGCATCCAATTTTGTGAATTGACAACTTTTCAAAACCTAAAAAAGACCAGTAAATCACTTGATTCCATGCTCATTCGCACGAAAATCTGATGCGCATGCGCTTCGTGCTGTCGTCAACGTGTTAGGGCAACATGTGCTGTTTCGGGTCTCTCCAGGAGTTTTCAAGTACCTAGATATGCAATCCGGGCGTGTTTAGTAATTTCTTCATTAAGATGGCACAAATACCTTATGTCCCTGGTTCTGGATCGGATGTAGCGCTCTTGATAATTATCGACTTTACAAAATCAAGTGAAAAGCTATTTAACGCGGTACGTTGGTTTTATTTATATTTTACCAGTTTAGCTCCGCACACTACCGCGTGCATGGCATCGAAGGCTTCGGTGAAACTGGACAGTCGGTGGAGCGTCAGGTTCCACCGGTAGAAATAAGTTCTTCGTGAAATGCGTTAGCTGACTGTCCGCTTGATACGCGCGGTGGAGTGCGGAGCTAAAGTGATGTCTGTAAACAACCACCATGCATCGAATGTCAAAATAATTTAGCGGTCGAACAATCTTTGATGCTAATGATGTTGAATCTAAATACCCAGCACTCATTATCATGTTTCTTAAAACATCCATCGGACATTTTTTGGAACTCGGGGGTAGTAACGGATTTTAGTGAAATCCCTTCGGTCCTCCAATCGAATCTGATCAATTTCCAATCTCATGAGGACGGAGCTGCAGGAGCTTCATAGTTGAGCTTGTGTAGAGTTTCAATCAACACGGTCAAAGGCGGACGTTCCACTTAAATGAGAGGCCCGAAAGAAAGTCTCCTGGAAAAGATCCTAAGGTGTACTTCTTTTTGATTATGTATTCAGTTCATTGCCTGAAAATCTTCAGCAAGAGTTGTGGCTCGCAGTTCTTCGGGGTCTCATTTGCACACCATATCCTCAAAGGACGAATTCACGATCAGAGGGAAAATCGAATTAAGGAAGTAATTCACCTGGTTGAGGGACCCGCGGAGCTCCTAAGTGGTGCGAACTGAAGCACAATTTGCACAGGAAGGAGTTGACCTCGGCGACCTATTAAGGTTCAATCCCGCCGCGGCTGGTCAGTGCACGCCCACCGATCATCTGATCACTCGCCGCAGGTCTATACGTGGCGAGTGATTAGATAGGTGAGAGAGCGTAGTGTTGAAGAGGGCACAGCGATGAGAGTCGGTATCAATGCTGAAATCAACGGGCGAGGA